CGAAGTCTATAATTACCCACAGGCTTGCCACAAACCTCATAATCATTATGTATTTGACTCAGTCCAATGCATCCAGACATTTCTTAATATACAGAACATACATTATGGAATCACTGAGACACCCATTCTGGTTTTCTTTCAGGAATAAATACTTTCATACTACAGAAGAGCTCAATTCTTTGCTTCTTCTGTCTATTTCTATGCTTAAAGTAGGTCTGCTGAATGCAGTTTTTCAAAGTGCACTATGTATTCTTTACCTTCTTCATGTTTCCTTATACCAGATCTTTTGCCTAGCTATTATTACAAATAACTGAAGGTGACAAACATACCTAACACTCCTTCCTCCTTCTAGTTTCCCCACAACCACAACCCTGCAAGGTGGGCTGGGCTGAGAGAAAGTGACTGGACCAAAGTCACCCACATGGCTTTCATGGCTAAGCCAGGGAGGGAAATAAATACGACACATTTCCTGTAGCTCATGAAAGTACTTATTTATTAAATGTATTTATTTATTAAACCAATTTATATAGTTTCCCATCTCACAAAACAAGTGACTCTGGGAAGCTCCCCTCTGTCCCCCTAAAACAAAGGGAAAAATAAGGAAACCCAAATAACTGCTTTCCCCTTGACCTCTTCCATTGAACCTTCCCATTACATTGCTGCTTGCTCTGTCCTTTTGCTTGCTCAATTAGTTGGGTGATTAGTCTCTTCCAGACAATTCTGTTATTTCAAAGCCTTCACCTTGCTCCAAAGGCGCTGCCCTCAAGCTTTCATACTATGGAGAAGAGATGTATTTTTATATAATGGCTCTCTATCCAAAGGCTTACAGGCCAGCAGATTATTACTTGGCAAGTCACTGAGCCAAAGCCTGTAAACCAAGCAGTCTGGAAGGATTCCCCATGCATAGCGCCAAGAAGCAAGAAGCAAATGATGCAGCCCACCCCTTTGTTGTGACTGATGTTAAACATTTCCTTTTCTGGAAAATGTATGAGGCTGGGAAAACAATGAAAGGAAACCTATGAGAATATGTTCCATGTATTCCAGCTCGACTTAGAAAAGCTTCTTCTTACAGACTTCCATTCCACAGTTGCCTAGCAGATATTAATCAACTAATTTCAACTTCAACTTGTTTCAGCCTGAAGGGAATATTTAACAGGGGATGTGGGTTAAGTATCTAGCTGACCTTGGTTGATCTCAAAGAGTTAAACTGGATTGGACCTAGTTAATATTTGGACGAAAGAAAAATAACAAATCTTACAGCTGAAGGCTGGGCTAGGAAATAAAAGCAGATCAAAACAAAAATCTCAAAAGTAGTTAAAATTACAAAGAGAATTTACATGGATGTGTCCATGAAGTTGTCTGAAACTGAACTCACTCAAAGTAGCTCAAGTTTTATAATTGGCATATTATGGCCATGTTTTCCTTTCACTCTCCACCACTTTATTGTATTTACTTGGTACCCTCTGTTCAGAAAGAGGCTTCCTGCTGTATTAGATTTGGGAGGCCTTTTAATTTAGTAAGGAATGACTGGGTATGGTTGGACACAGGAGCCACGTATAGTTATTCCTTGCATGAAAAAAGCAAAGAAATTATGATTACAAATTACAAGAAAATGCAAGGGCATTTAGCTGATGCTTGAGGTTGCACAGCCCTTCTTAAAGCATCATATATAGAGTGATAATTCTGCAATAGGGATGTTACCACATAGATTAAGTATCTAGAAGATTGGTCCCTTGCCCATCGGAGAGCATTTTGAGTACACACAGGCTTGGTCATCTCTTTCAAGTTTCTGTCCCTCAAAATTAATGGATTCCCCGGTTTTGTTCTAATAATTAGTTAGCCCTGTTGCCGCACAGGAAACAAATTACCATCTTGTCTTCAATGATATAAAGTGAGACACCGAAAATGAGTGAATAATTAATTGTCTTATGATTGGCCATACAAGCAGGGTTATGTTGGGAGCTATGAGGGCTGTTTTTCAAGGACTGGATGCACCACAGCATAACAAAAGTATACACAATGCTTTATTACAACACACACCTTTCCCAGGCTATTGCTTTGGATCAACTCCACCTTTCTAGGGCTCTCAAGCTGATATTGCCTCATAAATATGTCTTTCATATTCAGTCTTTTATGCTCCGTTCAGATAAAAGCCTATAAAGCAGCATTACAACCTTTACCTTTTTCCAAAAGTTCTTTCAGTAGTTGGGTTGAGGTGCCGTTTTCATGTGGTTACTCCTTTTCTACTTGTTGCAAAGCTCCAAACAGGACTCTCAGCAAGATATGCAGCTTGCCGTAGTTTGTGGTCCTGACAAAATGAAAGTTCTCTTGCCTGCTTGTAATAGCTGCCAAAATCTTCAGATGTCACCGCTTCCCCGTCTTTAGGCCTTTTGCTCACTACCTTGCCTGCAAAACACACACACACACACACACACACACACACACACACACACACCCCTCCTCACTCTGTCTTAGCATTTCCTTTTGTCAGCTAAGGACCCTGGATGGGGCGAGACTGTTTTTGGACATCCACATATCATTGAAATTGCTAGATGTGACTTTATAATTGTCACAGGTAGCTTTAACTTGGGCTTAGATGCTTGGGAAAAAAATGAGTGCAGGCAAGCTGGATGGGAAACTCTTCTGCCTTGTTGCAGCTGCTTTTTTAAACTGCAGACAGTAACTCCCACTTCACTCTCTTACAGAAGGATGGAATAATGGCTGGACTATAAAAAAAAAAATGCTGCTAGCAGAACACACCTCATAGGTCATAGAACACACGTTTTTAATATTAAAATTATACAAGTAAGAAAACTATAATATATATATGGGGAGGCATTGCCATAACAACTTGAATGCTATGTCTAGAACATGTTAAGAATTACCACTATGTATTATGATCAGCATTCTTATAAGAACCAATCAATCAAGGATGCTTTATGAAAAATGGTGATAATCCTAACATGGCCCTGGCCATTTCTTTCTAAACAATAAATTCTCATATCCCAAGATGCAAAAACACACAAGATAACTCTTCTTAATTTCATACACATAGCAATAAAGACAGCAATCTAGTAAGATAAGGTTCTGTTCGCTCCCTCCCGCCCTTTTTTTTTTTGACTACTTCAGCTTCTCCCAAATGACCAAGAAACAATAATAACAAGGCTTTTCAAGAAATGCAAAAGCAGAAAAGGAGAGCCTAGCTAAGTCATATATTTCAGGCCTGCGAATGGTGCATGGTGTAAGTTACTTTTGCCACTGCTGACTGTTTATTATGTTTGTCTGGTTGCCTGGGGAACTAGCTCACACCGTTTCATTCATTTTATAATGTTCCTGTAAATGTTAGGTAGGGCTGGGATTTATTATGCACTGTCAACACCTCAAATGGAACGCGCCACTGAGCTCCACTTACTTGGCAAGCTGCCGTTGCTTGGTCCTCTTTTTATTCTCAATAACTTTAAAGTAAAAAAAAAATATTAGCTTCAGGCATCCAGATTTCTACTATGCACGCAATCCAGGGTACACTTCTGCTTGCATTTATGATCTCCAACAATAAGTATAGGTGGTGAGATTCCCAGGGGAGCAATTTGTCAGGCGAGAACTGATGCCCAAATGGTCAAAGAAACATGCAAGTGAGCAAGCCAGCTCTCAGGGAATGGAATCTGTGACTGTCCTATGATTTGTAAGAGGTAACATTTTAGGGGAAAGAAGTAGGAACATGTTTACTGAGGGTGTTCCTCATCCTAACACACAGTGACCCCATCACCATCCATTCAACAACTTCTGTTGATTCAGAAGAAGAAGATAAATTAGTATGAGCAGTATATTTTGTTTTTATTTTCCTTCTTCATTCCCATACAAGATTGCCCTTATGTGGTTGGTATCAAGTACAACAGGCTTCTTTGGGAAGATGGGACAACTGACCTGGGATAAATATAGAAATGGCATTAGAAAGACCTCAGAGAACCTTTCCCCACTGCTTAATTGAATTGGTATCCATCCATTCCTGAGTGGGTAAAAAACAACTAGCATGAAGTACATTGTCCTCATTGCCAATCTCTGTCCTATATTATCTATTCCAAGGCACTGCAGTCACTTGATTTCCTCTAAAGTAATGGGTGATAGTGCTTAAGTCAGCCACTGAACAGTCTGGGAACAAAGGGAAAGAGATCATTTACTGAACTGTGATCCGTAACTTTCTATGGATGGCTGGTACTGCTAAAGATAACTTGTGCTTGTTACATAAAACATTGGGAATGAGACTAAGGCAATCTCATGGAGTAGAGAAGAAATTACAAGGGTACCATAATTACAACTTACACTATATAAGAAAAGAAACTGGATCAAGGAATTTTGGTAAGGAACAGACACCTTCACCATTTTAAGCACCGTTTGGCTCTTAGCAGTTAAGAATTCCTAGGAACATCCTAAACATTGCTTATCTCTGTATAGTAATAACTACTTTAAAATATCAAGAAATATTATTCAATATTTTGTTTGGTGTTTATTCACTTGTTCATGTTACTTCTGATGTGGAACGTACCAGTTCCACCTCTCATCCAGAAACATCTTTTTTAAAAATATTGTCATTAAAAGCTTAGTTTGTTTATAGATCTCTTCTTCCCCAATTCATAGGAATCAGTACAATATAGAGACCACTAGTAACTCCTTATATGGTTGAAGAATCAGACGAAATCCTTTAATTGCTTTTATAATTCTACACAATGCCTGTTTTAGACATTAGTCTTTAATTGAAAAACATACAGATATATAATTCACAAAGATGTATGGATACAGTGAAATAATGTACTGTATAGCCCACCAGTCTTTATCAGTCCAGATTTTAGAATTGCATGGCAACAATAAATCTTAAACTGAGTCAGCAAAATCACAGCCATTCTTTTTAATTATTCTACAGTTGCCTCCCTGTTTAATTTGAACACTATCTCTAGGAGCTTATGAGGTCTCCAACACTAATTTATTTTGTCTTGCTTAATCAGATCCACCAGAAGCAGAGCCCCAGTTTGTGCTGACAGCTTTCTAAAGCAAAGTTCTGGCACTATGTGAGAGAATGGAAAGAAAACACACATTGACTTGCAGAAGAGAGTAGGAGGACTCACCAAAGCACTTGTTGGCCAAGATCTGATTAAAACTGCAAGAAGCCAAGGTTCTAGGCGGAAAGGTGAGATTCCACAATATATTATATAAATGCACAGCTTTATGGCCCTCAAAATGCATTTCAGGAGAGACCTCAAATGACTTTGTAAAGTCTTGGTATATGATACGCACAAAGCATTAAAAAAGCAAACTTCTTGGCTTGTACTAGTTTTTAAAATGTTAAGTTTCATTTTTCTTTCTTTTCGTGCAAGTTGTCAAGATAAGATTTAATGTAAAAATAATGAATCATTCTTCATGTCCGAAGGAAAAAAAATCAGAGGTAACATAAATCAAGGAATGGGTTTCAAAAAAACAAATTTGTTAATGCACTTATAATTTAAGCGACATTCTGTTATTTTTGGTCCATAAGTTGTATTTATTAATATAATTGAAAAGTGAGGGAAAGGAAACAAAAGAAGTTCTACCCGATTTGCTTATTAGCCCCACCCCCACCCCCCAAAAGTACATTTTAGCTAAAGCAGCACAAATTCTGACATGGATACTTAATCTCACTCTTTTGTACCTAACTCCTTCTAGTGGCCTATCCCCAAGCCTCACATAGGCTCATGTATTGTGCCACGTTAGTCTCATCATTACTACTTCAGGGAATGTATGGCTGCTCATCTAAACTTTGGGCAGAGTTCAAGAATTAAAATACAAATGTCAGAGTACAAACAACAACACCCAAGAATAAAAAGACAACTTAATTCATAGATAACAAGAGCAGCAGCAGGAGAGCTCACCTAACCTCCTGAACTCAAGACCTCAGGAAACAACCAGATTTTCAGAGCCTTGCAAAACAGGTTTGGAGTCATTTGGATCTCCAGGAAGATGCTGTTCCACAAGGCAGGCACCAAAACCTCCAGAACTAGAGCCTTAACAGTCACAGCCACTCATTCTTGCCAGGCAAAGTCTGTTTTCCCCTAGTCGTCCTGCACAGCCTCCAAGCACTAGGAAAGGACCTTGTCAGCCCAGGGTAAAGACATACAACTAGATATCATCAGCATACAACATGCAGATGTTAAAATAGGAAGGTGGAGAAGGGGGAGTCCTGGGGCACCTCTCAAAGCAGAGATCTCAGACTTAATCTCTGCCCAGTATAAAGTATAAAGTGGAACTGGTTCTAGAGAAAGGAGGGGAACCACAGTAATAGAGTGCCTCTTACTCCCAATTCTTATGCTAGCCCAGAAGGATACCATGCTCAATGGTATAAAAAACAACCAAGGAGGGTCAGGATAGATATTCTACTCCCATCCCATGCCTACCAGGGGTCACTGACAAGTGCCATAAAGTAATCAGCATTATAACAAGAGCTGAATCCTAACTGAAAGAGGTCCACATAATCTCCTTCTTCCAGGTCCCTCACAAGCTCTAAACAAGTTTTCTAAGGAGAGGGCACCAGCTTCAAAGTGGATGTAACCACCCCTCCCAAAGAAAAGCATTCACCATTACTCCATCTTAATCAACCACAAGTATCAGGGATCCAAAACACAGGTCGCTGCGCTCATAGGAACTACCTACTAAGCTTTTTTTCCCACTTCTCAGTGTTCAAGCAATTCAGCACTCATAACATATAATGATTCAAAAAGCCAGATGTTTCACTTCTTCATTTTCTATGTATACATCAATCAATCAATCAGGTCTTTATTATGGTTATAGATCAGCATAAATGTATACATCAATTTATGAAGATTTGGAGTCCATGTCATAATCTGGATTCCACCTGATCACTTAGGCCATGATATCGACCAACAGAAAAATACAAAATTGCCGAGACATATGTGCATGTGTGTGTACAGTGTGTGCAAGTTAAATCAATAGAAATAATATACTTTTTCCTAAAGTTAAATAACTAAATTTAAATGGCAATATTTGCAAGAACAGGGCCAGACTAATATTACTGGTTCTCCTAGGAACTGCAAAATTCTACTACCCACGATCAATTTGCTGGAAAAAAAAGAAAGAAATAAGAAATAGGTTATAGGTCTAAACAGATTTATAGGTCTATTTAAAAATATTTATCATTTTAAATGCAGCTGTGTTGTCATTGACCACAGATAGACTGGTAAACTACTTAAAAAGAGAAAGACACATTACACAAAACAATATATCCAGAATGTTTAAAGAGCTTTTGTCATGCATGGTTTAACTTTGAAACATATTTTACTGAATCCCCATTTATTTTCTTTCTAACTTTTCTCTCTGTTTCCTTTCCCATCATTTTTAATCACCAAGGTACTTATGTAAATAGAAGTATTCCCTGTACTAAATGATGACTTCTTAGTAATGTAATGATGTTGAAATAAGCTAGTGCCCTCCAGATATTTTGGACTTCAGTTCCTTTAATCTCCATGACCATGGTCAAAGCCTTGGTATATTAGGGTTGAAGTCAAACACATCTAGAGAGGGCCTAGTTGGAAAGGTATTAATTGCCCAGAAACATCCAATAGCTCTCCATTGCTCCTTTATGTTGTTATCTGGATATTTAAGAAACCATTTTAATGCCTTCCCACTGTTTTCATCCACTAGTCTTGGTGTAGTTTAAAACAATCTGAAAACATCTTGATATTTGATCTAAAAAGTAAGGAACAAAGGATATCATTTCATTACTGCTTTACCTCAAGATGCCATTACAATGACACAAATCTTCTTAGTCTCATGCTGTATAAAAGGAAAATAAATTATTTGCATCTTTGCCCCCCCTGCCTGTGTCTTTAATTCCTATTCTGTATGTTTGTCTGATGATATGTAAGCAAAAAAATTAATCCAACTCTTTGAGAAAACAATTGAAAACTTGTTAAAGTTTCTGCAAATAGGAAAATTAGAAAATTCCAATATGGCTCCAGTGCTTTAAAAATGGCAGCAATCAGGGCCACTAATCTTGCTGCAGTTTCAAATGCATTAGATCTAAACAAATACATCAGTTCACCTGCAATTTCACAAGATCCACAACCTGGTGCAGAATATGGAGTATGAAAAGGTTCTTATGGGAGAGCTATCAGACTTACGTAACTGCTAATTATTAATTATTATTTTCCATCTCTCTTTACTTCCATGTAGTGATCATTTGGATTTTTGCAGCCCAGATTTCAGATGAGATTTTCAAATATTCTGTAACTATGTCTGTATGCAAAAATAATAAAACAACAAAAACACTGCAATCATATGAAATGCATTATGTGGGCATAACCTTTCAACCAGAGTAAACCAAATGAGGTCAGGATCTACTTGCAGTCTCTGATGTACATTAGGAAAAAAGACTGCTGAAATAGAAATAGTAATAACAGCTTTGGGGAAACTTAGCCCAGGTTGATGCTGGACCAAATTTCTGAACTGAGCATTCACAAAGACCTAGTTTCATAATTTTAAAGGTTATATTTTTATATAATTAAGTGCTCCACTCTTGAATTTTTATAGCTTTATTTATTTATTTGTTTGTTTATATTAGCTATCCATTTTACCACAAAATAACTCTGAGCAGCTTACAATCATAAAAAATAAAAATATGTATATATATTAATCCAATTACGGATGGGGACAGCAGAAACGGGGGGAGGTGGGATCTGTTATTAATCCATCAACCACCTCCACTATAATGGAAAATACCTTGTTTAGTAAAATAAAGTAGAGGTTGCTATTGTCCCCTCCTGAAAATATATGGGAATAACCAGTGGTGGGATTCAAATATGTGAACAATCAGCTCTCTGTGTGGATGCTGCTTCCAGAAGTCCATTCTGGGCCTGGGCAACAAAAAATTAGCTCCCCGTTCTGCCAAAGTGGTGCAAACTGGCTGAATCCCGCTACTGGGAATAACCCCACCACAGCCGACTAAAACATTTCACTCCTCTTAAATCAGGGAAGGGAACCTGCCTCCAGAAGTTGTGAATGCTCCAACACTGGAAGTTTTTAAGAAGAGACTGGAAGGGAGGGGGGGGGGTTTGGGAGGGGTGGGGGGTTTTTTTTTTTATATATGTATTGTTTAGCTTTATTTTTTTGTATATGTTGTCTCTTGTTTTGTATTCTTTTTTCTTTTTTGTAAAATTTATAAAACTTTTAATAAAAAAAAAAAAAAAAAAAAAAAGAAGAGACTGGACAGACATTTGTCTGAAATGGTATAGGATTTCCTGCCTGAGCAGGGGGTTAGACTAGATGACCTCCAAGGTCCCCTCCAACTTTATTATTATTATGGATCATCGCACAGTCAGCCAGATGTTCAGACTGGATTTGGCATTTTGTCTACCGATCGAGTCCTTACCCAGGACCTGGGATAGGCAGATGTGGATGTTTGATGGTATTACAGGTATCGTCGCAGGATGGAAGCAGTTCCTAGTAAGGCCGCCTTTTGCAATTGACTAATAGCGAATTTGTCAATGCCAATGGTGTTCAAATGGTGCTCCAGTTGGTTTGGGATTGCACCCAAGGAGCCTATTACTATTGGTACTACCCTTGCTTGCTTTTGCCACAGTCTTTCTATTTCTATTTGTAGGTCTTTGTATTTTGTTATCTTCTCCAGTTCTTCTTCTTCTTCTTCTTCTTCTTCTTCTTCTTCTTCTTCTTCTTCTTCTTCTTCTTCTTCTTCTTCTTCTTCTTCTTCTTCTTCTTCTTCTTCTTCTTCTTCTTCTCATTATTATTATTATTATTATTATTATTATTATTATTATTATTATTATTATTATTATCATCATCATCATCATCATCATCATCATCATCATCATTATCATTTCTCACTCCTGGTTGATAAGCCAATGAATCTGATGATGGGGTTGATCAGATAAGGATCATATGGATATAAGTAAACTGTGGACATGGATTGTAACATATGATTCTTTTTTCTCCTTCTCCTCCCTTTCTTCTAAAACTCAATAAAACAAGTCTGTTAAATTTCCAATCAGCTTAATTCATAATTTTACTACTAATTCATTTGGTAAAATAAAAAACCCAGATCGCCATCACCAAACACCCCCCCCCCCGTCAAAAAAGAAGTAAGCCATTCTAACCAACTATTTAAACAGCCTCTAGCCACAGAAAGATGGTCTGAAAAACAAGATCCCTATGAAGCACTTCAAATTATCAAGAGATTTTGCCTGCAATGAGGCATTTCTAAAATAACAGCCTGATTTATGCATTATAATAAGTCAAGGTTTTCTATAAACATGGTTTGCTGAACATGGATGAAATATATCATTACATCATAATAGATGGAGTCACATGTCACTCTTTGCCAAAAACAATGAAGATAAATAATGACTTAAAGTGATGCATAAACCAGCTCAGAGCTTCTGAGAAAAATCACTACAATCACATCACGTTTCTCATTTTGTAACCTGGTATAGGGAGCATGGTGGTTTTCAAGGACTGAAAGATATGAGAGGGGTGAGTGTAAACTAGCTTTAATTATACTTCCTTTTGTTGTCTTGTGCCTCTAATATCTTGTTTCAAAAAGAAATAGTGTGTTAAGTAGATACATACAGTATGTGTGCCTTTTCTCTGTAAAACACTAGAAAATGGCCCAATCACATGGAGGAAGACAGGAGGACCAGCACAACATAACTTTGGGTTATTTTAAAGGATATCTGCCTATCAAATTTAAAAGATTGGCAAAAAAGTATATACCAGAAAATCCCAGGATGGCTCTCAATGATGGAAGCGTTTGTTCACTCTAATCTATTGAAATTTGAGAAAATCTGGACCTATAAGGACATTTTGAATATTGAAGGGAATTTAAAATCTAAACAAGAGCTTGAACACAAGGTTATTGAAGCATCATGGTGGCTTCAAATGCAATTGCAATCTAGATACAATAGAGATCTTAAAATGTATGGTTTTTATAAAGACCAGACAATGTTTGATCAGATATTGCTGACATTTGAAGAAAAACTGATCAAGAAATTATATAATTTCTTATTAAATTTGAAAATGGAAAATGAACAAATGAAAGAAACAATGACACAATGGGCAAAAAACTTTGGATATAATATAAAATTAGAGAAATGGTAAAATCTGTGGGAAAGAAATTATAAATTGACAAGGGCAACTTCTTATAAAGAGAACTTATATAAAATGTTTTATAGATGGCACTTACCACTGGTTAGATTAGCAAAAATGTTCATAAACATGTTGAGTAAATGTTGGAAATGTAACCAAAAACCGGGCACATCTTACCATCTGTGGTGGACTTGCGGTGAAGCAAGAAATTTTTGAGTTAAAATACACACATGGTTAAAAAAAAAAAAGGTTACAGAAACATATAGAGTTTAAACCTGAACTTTTCTTATTAGATATAGTACCAGAAAAATTTGATAAACAAAGTGTATATCTAACATTGCATGTATTGATAGCAGCGAGGATTGTATTTGCTCAGCACTGGAAGAAGGAAGAAACACCATCAGATGAAGAGATGATTAAGAAGATTTTGGACTGGGGACTTTCTGTGGATCAAGCAGATACGATGGCTGCTTTTCACAAAGCAGCCCGTTCCTGGGTTGTGTAAAAGCCGCAGGATTTTTACAATCAGCTGTCCTGCAGTTTGAATCTCCTCTCTGGGAGAAAGAGAGGAGAAGAGCTGCTCAGGTAGAGGTAAGAGCTCCCCTGGATCCCCATAATTTCAGGGATCAGAGGGTAGAGCTCCCTCGGAGTCTGAGCCATCTCCGCACTCCAGGATGTCTTTGTCCCGAAGCTTTGGGATGAAGCAAGGTGCCACTCCCACATCTGCTTTTTTGGGAGGTTTGTGAGTACTTAAATGCAGACGGAGCAGACCAGGAGAAACTGCATTTAAGATTGATTGTGACTTTAACTCCAGCAAGTATCTTCTCCTCTTTTTATTGTTTACTTTCCCTTTTGAAGAAAGGGAAAGTGGAAGGCAAAATGGTGACCGTCTTTCTTGTTTGATTTAGCAACAAAGTTAAAAGTTGGACATAGATCAATGTTTTAAATATAGAGGCAAGAACTTGGTTTCTTTTTTCTCTTTTTCTTTTTCTTTCTTTCTTTTTTTTCTTTTTTTTGTTACCATTTAAAGAACTGTGATTTTATAGGTAAGAATTTTGTTCTTTTGTATTTAAGAGAATGGCTTCAAAACGTTTGCTCCCTGCTCCTAAAGCTTCTATCTCCTCTCCAATGTCTCAGCCTGTTTCTCAGAAACCAAAATCACCCCCACCCGCCCCTCCTCCTGCAATTTCTCTTAAAGACTTACAAGAAGCTCTAAAAAAGAATGCTTTGGATATTAAAGAGGAAGTAAAAGATCTTATAATTGCAGAGAGGGCTATTACAGACGAACTACTGGAGAAAAAAACAAGCAAGTCAGGGAGGACATCCTATTTGCATTTCAAGGTCTTGCTCTGCATATTGAAAGAATTGATGACAAAATGGAGGAGATTACCGAAAATGCAACAAGATTGGAATCTAGAATGGAGGAGGTGGAGAATAAGATAGAAATTACACAGGATGAACAAATTATTTCACAATACAGAGAGATGGAGTTTGCATTGCGTATCAGAGGATTGAGAGAAAACTTTCAGGAGGACTTAAAGAAGCTTATTGTGAAAGATATTGCTATTAAACTTGGATGGAGATCTGAAATAATTGGGAATGAGATAGAAAAATTTTTTAGAGTCAACTCACGGGTTGCTAGACAGAGAAACCTACCAAGAGATGTGGTTATTTATTTTTCTAGAAGATTTATTCATAATGAAATTATACAGGCTTTTTATAAACAGAAGTTTCAGATTGCAGATCAAGACGTGATAATTTTAAAAGAAATACCTCCCAAAATTCTAAGAGGCAGAAAAGACTTTACTTTTCTGTCTGATGAGTTAAAACATCATCAAATTCAGTTCAGATGGGAGATTCCAAGAGGAATAGTAGTGAATTATGATGGGACACGTCATAGATTAACTACAGTCTCAAAGGCAAGAGATTTTTATCATTCTATTTTAAAGGCAAGATCGTCTTCACCTTCACAAACAAGGATAATTGAAGAGCCTGTTATGGCAGGAGCCTCTTCAATGGTGGTTATGGAACAAGCTGTACAGAACCTTGAGATAAAAGATCAAAGGATGACACGAGCTGCCCACAAACGTAAAGAAAAAGAGCAGCAGCAGAAAAGTGGTGATAAGGTAGAAGGAATGGTTACTCAGAGCCTGTGGGAGGGGCAAGACCTAAAAGATCGTTGACAGTTGATCTACAGGCCATGCTCCAGAGGCTCCAGGACAGTGGAGATGGCCAAGTTCTTGACCTGGAATGTTAATGGCTTAAATTCATCACAGAAACGGAGAAAGATTTTTCATTATTTGAAACAACATAATAATGATTTGATATGTTTGCAAGAGACTCATATAACTTCAAAGGACTCAAAATTTTTGATAAACTCTCGTTTGGGGTCACATTTTATGGCTCCAGCTCCAGGGGAAAAAGGGGGTGTTGTAATTTATGTGAAGAAAATTTTTTCACCTAAACTAATTGAGGCTGACCCTGAAGGAAGATATGTCTTTGTGGAATTACCAATACAAGGCAAGAAAGTTCTTATTGTTGGACTATATGCTCCTAATCAACAACAGAAGCAATTTTATAAGTTTTTGCATGGGAAGATATCTCAGTTGGATTACAAATCTGTAATTTTGATGGGTGATTGGAATGGCGTTTTAGACTCATCTATAGATAAAAAGAGTTCTTCTAAAACTTTACTCAAACTAAATTACCCAAAACTTTCTTTGATTTGAAAGAAGAGTTGGAGCTTATTGACATTTGGCGAGAAAGGAACATAAGTGATAGAGACTTCACTTTTTATTTGGATAGACATCAGTCATTTTCAAGGATTGACTTTTTTTTTATTACTAGTGATTTCTTTTCTAGGTTGAGGAAGGTAAAAATCTTCCCCAGGACCTTGTCAGATCATAGTCCGGTGTGGATGGAG